GGGTGGGTGGGATGCCAAGGACAAAGTCAAAAAATCAATAAATGTATTTAAAAAGCAAAACAAATAGCAGTAGTACATATACTACATATACTGTATACAAAAGACAGGCTTCAGACAGAAGGAAGCTATAACAGATTAGACTCATAGCGTCATGAAAGAATGAAATATAAATACAAAGACGAATGTGTGTATAAGGCTGTTATGCAGCTATCAGATTATATGAGAACTAAAATTAAAATTCACACACAAACGCGCACACACACACACACACACACACACACACACACACACACACACACACACACACAAATAGCATATGAGAACAACACAGCATCTCACTCATCTCATGGCTCTTATGTTCTTTCTGCCCTCTCTTTTATGACGTGCCCTGAGCCTTGAAGGGGCTAACACAGGCATTTATGGCTTGGGCATTGGGTGAACACTTTCTCAGCATTTTGACCAGTTAGAAGTCTCTACAGTTACTGCTGCCCACTACAAAACAACGACAAAAACTTTTCTTTCAGCTGGGCGGTCGTGGTGCACGCCTTTGATCCAAGCACTCGGGAGGCAGAGGCATATGTGTGTGAGTCTGAGGCCAGTCTGGTCTACAAAGCAAGTTCCACAACAGGCTCCAAAGCTACACAGGGAAACCCTATCTCAAAAAATCCCCAAAACAAACAAACAAAAAAACCCTTTCTTTTCTTTTCTTTTCTTTTCTTTTCATTTTTTTAACAAAACTTTTCTAACTGTAGTAGTTTAAATAAGAATGGGCCCAATATGGCCGGGCGTTAGTGGTGCACGCTTTTAATCCCAGCACTCGGGAGGCAGAGGCAGGTGGATCTCTGTGAGTTTGAGGCCAGCCTGGTCTCCAGAGCGAGTGCCAGGACAGGCTCCAAAGCTACACAGAGAAACCGTCTCGAAAAAAAAAAAAAAAAAAAAAAAAGAATGGGCCCCATAGGCTCCTATATTTGGATACTCAGTCACCAGAAAGTGGACCTTTTAGAAAGGATTAGAAGGATTAAGAGGTGTGGCCTTTTTGAGCAGGTGTGGCCCTGTTGGAGGAAGAGTGTGGCTGGGGGGTGAGCTTTGAGGTTTTAAAAGCTCAGGCCAGGCCCTGTGTCTCTCTCAGCCTGCAGGTCAGGATGTACTATGTTTCCAGGACCAGGTCTGTCTGCTATGATGATGTTGCTATGATTCCCACCATGATGATAATGAAGGAACCCTCTGAAACTGTAAGCCAGCCCTCAATATATATATAGCCTTGGTCATGGTATCTCCTTCCAGCAGCACAACTGTGACTAAAATACTAACTGAAGCTGACAGCAGCACTCACCTATGCGTAAACACAATTAGTCACATCACACCCATTTACCAAAACAACAGCAGTAGCTTCCCTGCTAGGGTCCATGACCTCACCAGCCATGGCTTTTGGCCAGGTTTACAATACCAGATGTGAGCTCCTTCCTGTGGAGCAGGCCTCAAATCCAACCAGAAAGCAGTTGGTTACTCCACAACAGACTTGCCGCTATTGCACCAGTGAACACATCTTTCCTGGACAGTCAGCCATGTCACAGTTAGTGTCCACAGCCGTGTGAGACTATTGGTGACAATCCTCCTCAGCAGCCTGCACAGTACCTTCCAGCACTAAGAGGGCAAGCCAGCAGGGAGGGAGCTTCCAGTCCAGTTCCAGCCTGATTTATCTGTGTCCTTAGAGAGAATATGGTGTTTTTGGCAATCGGTTCTTACCATCTTTTTCCGGTGGACAGTCATCTGTGTGGCATTTGCATATATTGTTGTGGGAGCCTCAGGGGTCTCCCTAACCTACAAGTCCTTGGGTGGTAGCCCACTCCTGGCACTGGAATTTTCATTTAACAATCTATAGCTCTTGGAAGCACCTTCAACCACTTGGGGGTCTCTATTCAAACTCTTAAAAAAAGGAAATGATGGTTTTAAACTACATTACCAAGTATCAGTTTCCTTGTTGGCTCTCTCTCTCTCTCTCTCCTTCCTTCCTTCCTTCCTTTTTTAAAGAGTAGGTTACCCTGTTCTTTTTTATTTAAATTTGTTTTTTCATTTTACAACCAGTTCCCCCTCCCTCCCCTTTCTCCACCTTCCCCACCCTTCTTCCCTCTAAGGCCTTCCTTGGGGAGTCAACAAAATCTGGAATACCAAGTTGAGGCAGTATCAAGCCACTCCCCTACCCCCCCCCCCACCATCAAGGCTGAGCAAGGTATCGCACCATAGAAAATGGGCTCCAAAAAGCCAGTTCATGCACCCGGGATAGGTCCTGGTCCCACCGCCAGGGCCCCAACAGATCAAGCCACATAACTGTCACCCATATTCAGAGTATCTATCTAGTTCAGTCCCATGCAGGTTCCTCAGCTATGGTCCATAGTCTGTGAGCTCCCACCAACTTGGGTCAGCTGTCTCTGTGGTTTTTCCCATCATGCTCTTGACCCCCCCTAGTTCATATGATCCCTCCTCCTTCTCTTCAACTGAACTCCAGGAGCTCAGCCCAGTGCTTGGATGTGGGTCACTGCATCTGCTTCCATCAGCTACTGGATGAAGGTTCTATGATGACAATTAGGGCTGTCACTAATCTGATTAAAGGGGAAGGCCAGTTCAGGTACCCTCTACGCTATTGCTAGGAGTCTTAGCTGGGGTCATCCTTTCCGATTCCTGGGAATTTCTCTAGCACCAGGTTTCTCCCTAACCCCATAATGGCTCCCTCTATCAAGATATCTAAAAGGGGGACCCTAAAAGAGGGACACATGGAGGGCCCCGGGAAGGGAAGATAGTTAAGATCTCCTGGGTAAACTGGAGAGGGGGCAGCAGGAAGGGGAAGGGGGTGGGAACATGAGGGATAGAGAAGGCCTTGTGGCTTTTTCATACAACCTCAGTTTTGGTTTTTCCTCTCCCCACTCCCTTCCTGTCCTCTCCACATTTAAGTTTTTTACACACCCCCCAGTATTCCCCTTTCATTTTCATATCACCTGTGCTTCATTCCTCCTCTCCCCACAACCTGAAGTGTCTTTTCCCCCTCTTTCAAGTTTTTTGGCTTTAAATAGCCACTTCCACATAAATGAGAAGGTAGGGACTATGGAGGTAGCTCAGCAGTTAAGAGCATTGGCTGCCTTTACAGACGACACAGATTTGGACACATGGTGGCCCACAGTTCTAGCGGTTCTGATGTCCTCTTTTGACCTCCACAGGCACCATGTGGTACACAAACGTATATACAGGGGAAACGCATATGAACACAAAAATAATCTAAATTCTTTTTAATTAGAAGGTGGAAGAGAATAGACCTGTTTCTGAACCTGGGTTAGCTCACTTTCTTACAGATTCCATCTTTCCGTACAGCTGAATAAGATTCTATTGAGTATATGCACCACATTTTCATTGCCTGTTCATCATCTAATGGTCATCTAGGCAGATTCTATTTCCTAGCTGCCGGGGATAATAGAGCCTCAGTGAGCATGGCTGGGCAAGTGTCC